ACAAGAAGGTAATAGCGATCTAACTGATAGAGCATAGAGTAACAAAGTCCTTGTTGGCAGTAAGAAAAAAGTACCACAGGCACGTTAGCTGAAATGAAGAGAATGTCAAAACAGTGAGGAAGTGTCCCCTGTGTCCCTATAATGCATTTTCAACACATGTCCCTGCTCTGCTCAACCATTTCCTCCTCCACTCACAACTGTTGAGGGCTTGCTTATTGAGAGTGTCTTGAGGACAATTTTCTGAGCATGCTTCTGTTCATCTAATCATGTCCAGTTGCCTTCAATTCACAGGCATAAATCAGACATGAAGACGTTATTAGCAGAGATTCCTGGCACCCCCAGCACACTGAGCAAGCATCCTATTTAAGAAAACAATATACAATGGATTATTCATAACAGACCAAGTGCGTCACAAATGAGTAATTATAAACATGAAATATATCAATAATGACAATTTTTTTTACAGCAAAGTAACACACTGCAAATAGCCTGTTGGTTGATTATGTATTATTAATGAAATGCTAAAACATTTAAGATTTTTAACAGGACAGTTAATTACTCCCAGTAAATATGACTTATGCCAGGCCTCTTCTTTAAAGGAGGCTTTTGGACATCTGGTGAAGGTTATTTTTTAAAAGCAATAGCTGATGGTTCCTACAGAAAGTTCCCAGGAGCTATGAGGACTGGAGCCATCAACACACATAAATGAGCAAGAAGGAAATTAAAGAGGCGAGGGTAACCTGAACACTGGAATAATCATATAAATCAAGGTGGATCATAGTGCAAGATTCAAACCAAGATACACTACAAACATTTTCCCACTGCCAACATTCAGGGCTAGTAGTTTCCTTGAGAAAGTATTTTCATAAAGAAACTATGGCCCAGCTTTAAAAGAGGATCCAAATCTAAAAACAGAATCCCAGTTTACTTGCCTGGAGAGGGACAACTGACCCTAATGAAGACCTGCCCCAACAAGAAGTTTTCAGAACCACCAGGCTGGTTATTGTTAACTGCTATTAAGCCAGGAACGGGCTATGGTGAAAAAGGGTTCAGAGACTGTTGTGTTCATGGCACCACTTCATGCAGATAACTGGAAGCATCAGCGGCAGGATGCACAGGACTTGTAACACTACTGCCAAAGGTGGCCAGGCCATCCACGAAATGGTGCATTGCCCACACAGAGCAGCTGTTTAACACCAACCACTACCCTATATTGATGCTTATAGGAGCTATATAGGTAGATCCCAAACCTGCAGTGACATCTATGCATGCACAGAAGTGAGCAGGAATGGAACTTCTTCAAAAGGTAAGCCCTGGAGCTCCAATGTTGCAAAGCTTTGAAGCACACCCAGGGCTCAGCAGGATCTGAGCACATGCTAGAGCACCTCATCATCCAAGACCTTAATTCACAATAAACCAAGTACTACCAGAGAGAGCTGAGCTGCCTCAAGAAAGCCTGCACTTCTTCCTTTGTGAGCTACTGGTCTTTGGAAGATTATAGTAAAGCTGTTCCAAGAAACCAAAATGATCATTTCCTGCTGGAGCTCAGTATTTAGCTCTTGGGGTGGCACAAATTACAGCATCCTTATTTTTATTTCAGTATTTATTTGAAGGGAATGTACAACAGAAATCTGATGCTGGCTGTATTTTAAACCCACGAGCACTCTGTAAACAAGTTAGACCCAGAGAGATTTGCATGTTTCTTCTTGAAACATAAGGAGAAGCAGCGAGACTGAATAATTGAAAACAGTTATGGAGACTTCATTTTCTTGTTTTTCCTGGGATTTGCTCTTGGGCTGGCTACTCCCAACTTTAATACCTGGCAGGGATGATCAACTATTTGGAATCTCATTTGCATTATAGTTGATATGCGACAGCTTTCCATAGGGAAATCACTGCCCCGGCAGAGGTCAACAATTTGCAGGAAAAAAGGGTAGAGAGGACATTTTTCTTAAAGTGCAGCTTTTAAAAGGGGTCAGAGCAGAGTACTTAAGGATGAATACATAAATATATCTCAAAAAAACACATTACTGTGACATCTCTGGTAGCCTCTGGATATGTCCTCAAACCCTTTGAAAAGCTTGAGAATTGGTGGCACAAACTTGTCTGGGTCTTCAAACACATGCCTATGGGGCACACTTCCCCTGGAGGGGCCGCAGCAGCCATGGGAGGCAATGGCAAAATTCCAGTTACCTTCACTGAGACAGGTTGCAAGCACCAGCAGTGCTCATCCAAGCCAATGAGCTATTTGCTTAGCTGTTTGCCTAAGGCTTTGCAGGACTGGGTAACCCTTCGAACTGATGGTTGTATCTATGCAAACAGCTATGGTCCTGCAAACAGAGGAGAATGAAGAAAACCTCATTGAAGTGGATCAGTCCTGGTGCAGGCAACAAGCTCACTGCAACTCATTAACTTCAGCGAGGCTCTGCCTTACTGACCTCTTTGCAGAATCAAGCCCCTGGCAGGAACGAGTATAGAATGCAATGAGAATTGAGGTTAGGAAGGAATAAAGCCAAACTGGAATTTGTGCAGAGTATCAGTGGATGCTGTTCCCTCAACTGAACAAGCTTCCAGCTTCTCGGGTTGCTCACGTTACTGTTTAACGTGCCAGCGTCAAGGATAAAAAGATTCTGAGGACACTATTTGCACACAGCAGCTCTCTGCAAGCACACATGCCCACCACAATGTCACCTGTGCCACCCCAGGCACTTGGGATCCCCCAGGACACAGAGTGCCTGCAGGCAAAGCAGCCACATTTTGACCCTTGCTGCATTTACAAATATCCAAAACCCTCCTGCAGACACCACAGGGGAGAACTTCAATAAACACAGAGGATGATGAAGGAAATACAGAAGGGTGAGGAAAGTGGACATCTTAGCCCCAAAACAGCACCTCCAGCAACGTGTCCCCAGTGCTGCTAGGTACCAGTGCAGTGCTGGCGGTTCAGACACAAACACAGCAGCACCCATGCCTTGACACCCCACTTTGCAATGCCTACACCCCAGGAGGTTGGCTGAGATGCCAGCACACCAGGGTATGGCCACAGGCAACAAACAGGGTGGATCCAAGACCTCCATCCAGGTTAAATGCCTCGATAATGCATGAAAAAGGGAGGTATATGCTGCCTGAAAGCTTCATCTATGAACAGACCTAATGACAGCATACAGTGCAGATGTTTAAGGTTTTCTTTTATCATGCTGTAGAAATGTATATACAATTATGCCCAGTAAGCCTCCACAAGCAGACGTTAAGTTCAAGGAATGAGAGGGCATCTTTATAACCACCCACTGAATTTCTATGCATTTTGCGTCCTGCCTAATGACTTTAGGTTCAACAGACAAAATCCACACTGTGGCTTTAATTACCACTTGCTTAATGTCTTTATTCTGAGAAATATTTTCACATTTTCATGCTTTTATCAAAGTAGACTGTGTTTAATTAGAAGCAGACCTATAAAGCAGTTTGTTTCTACTGCCCTTTTCTCATGATAGCCCAAGTACTATTGCATAATACCCAGTATTTACTTTAGTTTCTTGCTTACACTTTTAACACTCATAGGTTAAAAATACAGTTAAAGGCTACCCAGTCTTGCAAAGCTTCTCCATGCCTATCAGTTCCCCAGTTAACGGCTGAGCTAACCAATATATCTTTAGCTGTGGTGTATAAAACTCACTTGGTATTGGTTACAGGACTCAAAAATCATTTCACTTTACCTTAGCAAGCCACCTGGCTAAAATAAATGCTCCCAGATCCATTCAGTATTCCCAGCATATTGTGAAAAGGCTCTGCCTGTTTCATTTTTACATTGCTTAATAGATTGCCTGGCATATTTCATGCCGAATCAATAAAGCTATATGTGCACAAATCGACCAAAATTATGTTTGTTGGTACTGCTAATATAAGTAGCTTCTCAATAGGTATTTTGTTCAGTTTACAGTAACTCTGGAAGATAAGACATGCAGAGCACTACCACCTTGCTACTGGTCAAGGAATGATTTTTGCTTAGAAATTAGGCCATTTCAAGAGAAATTAAACAAGAGGACTTGCATTGCATTGTAACTTACAGGGGAAGTTACAGAAAAGGAGGCTGTGGGAGATGCATGGGACCAGCCATTTACAGGTACCAAACCTGGACTGGGATTTAGTCTGTTGAAGGGAAGCCTGAACAAGTGGCCACAAAAACGCTGTTTATATATCCATCTGTATTTATACATACCCATATATTATGATATTATAGGAACACACTGCATCAGCATAATCCTCAAGCACATTATGACTGGATAAAAACTGCATGATAATGGAGTCAGGGAGAGTGTGAGTACAGAGAGAAGGTACGGCCCTTCTCCCTGCATAGCTGAGACAGGAAAGGATGGGGATTTTGGTTAAATTAGCACCTGGGCAAACTATTTCACATTAAATGTTATTCTTTCTCTCTGCAAGCTAGGTTTCTCCCTGGGATTCACTAGCAGGGAGATGGATGCACAGTGGGTTTGTTCACTGATGAACTCCATCAGTTTGTAGGATCAGGCCAGGGCCAGGGCCTGATCCTGCCCCATTGAAAAGTTAAGGGAAGGTGTTGTGAGAAACAGGCAAGGTCTACACAACACCAAAGAGCACAGCACCAGAAGCCAGCTCCTGCAGGACAAGCCCTCCTACATATAATACCATGAGCCCTCCACCACCTTCCCCATCCCTCACTGGCCAACTGGGATTCTGACTGGTGATACACAAACTGCCTCTCCAGAGCCAAGGCAAAGCATTTATGTATGGGTACAGTGCAGAGGGGATTTATCTACAGGTACAGTGCAGACTCTGAGGAAACAGTTAAGCATCCACAAAGACTCCAAAAACTGAAAAGATCAAGCTTCCCGTATCAAACCCTTCCCAGCAACAAACATTCATGCCAGTGGGGAAAGGACGCATGCAAAGACCCTTTCCCTCCACAAAAGAAGCCAGCTGGAATATTCCTTGTTTAAAAAAATGGCATTGAGAGCTCTTACCTGGTAAAATTTGTGTTCCCAGCTACCAGCACACCTACAGCACCAGGCTCTCATGGGGCATCACGCAAGGGTGCAACAGCGGATTGGTGCAGATCATGGAAGTTTACAGCCAGAAGCAAAGAAAAACCAAAAACCAAACACAAAACAAAACAAAAAATCCCCCAAAAGCCACAACATGACCCAAATGATATCCCTGCAATGGTTGTCTCGTTACAAACAAGATGAGATGAAGGAGGGGTTTTTTACTTGCTCTGAGGCATCATATGGAGCTTAATCACAGGCAGTTACGTATATGGTTCTTTTGGCCTTCAATCAAGAGTGTCATTTCGGTGGCAGCTGCCTACGTGATGTAAGCCACCTGGGTGATCCAGTCCTTTGCCAATCGCGGCCTTGTGCAGCTATTTTACAGCTGAACAATGGGGAAATCTGATTTCCCAGGCAGTGAGGAGATCCTCTTGTAGTCCAGCAAGCACATTGAGTGAGACAGGATCGCGCACCTCTCCTCCAGTGGAGTTACAGGCAACCACAGCCAGGGCAGACCTCAGCAAGCAGCTCCCTCAGCTGATCTCGTCCTGCTATCATTTCCCGATGGAGCCCGTCTGTATCCTGATGACTTTCAGCACACTCCAAAAGCCACCGAGAGCTGAGAACAAGCTTGCAAGCACAGCGTGACAAGCTTGCAAGAACAGCGCGACACAGTGCAGCGTAGACTAAGGGGGATGCAGCTGCTACATGGAAAACAGTCAAACTTGGTGGGTGGAAAAGGTCTGAGCTGCTGGTGAGTAACAGGAGAAGCAGCTCACACTCAGGACACCAGCAAAGCATGGCAGCTCAGCCTTCCTTAATGCATTCCTTTTGCTGCTCAAGTGGGGAAATCAGGAGGCAATCACTGCAAATCATGTATTAAATCTAGTGATTGAAATTATATCGGAAATAAAACGAGGTTGGGCTGAATACATTAGAGCTATTAGCAGGCATGTGGGTGACAGGCAGGGCTTTCTTTGGGAGCCTTTTGGTTGCCGACAGCGGCATCAGGAGGTGTCTGGGGCCAGATTCCTCTGTCAGGTATGATTTTGACAGAGTCATTAAGATCCATTTATTCAAACAGACGGAGGATGCTCTCTCTGCCCTGGGATCTTCACTCTTATCTAACTCCACAAGAGCAGGACACCGCATAGATACCGAGCACTCATTACATCACCCACGGTATGGACAAGGCAAGAAGCCCAGAAATGAAGAAAAAGAGGGTTTTTTTGGCAATAAAAAGTGATGTTACGCTGCTCCATGGCAACTTGCTTTCCCCTCTTCACAAACATGCGTGGGGACCAAACACCAAAAGGGGGGGGGGGGGGAATAAAACCACCCGTGAACAAACCATACACACGGAGGGATGGGGTACCAAGAGATGGCTGGAGGGGAAGCTCATCCACACCCGCAGACTCCCCCCTCACCCCAAACGCCATCCCCGAACTGCGCTGCACCCCGCTGGGGACCGGCCCGTCTGAGCCAGACGGTGGGGCTGGGGGAGCCCACTCTGCGGCCAACAGGTCTGTCACCCGTGGAGCACGGGTCGCCCCCCACCCGGGGACCGCGTGGAGCAACTGATGCTCCCCATGCTTCGCTGTGGGTTCTCCCCGCCTCCTCCACTCACCTCTCCACCAGCCGGCTCCTCCGCCACAGGTTTGCTCGGCTCCTCTTCCCCCCCCTAACCCCCCACCCCCCTTCCTCTAGATCGCTCCTGACCGAGTTATTCAGAGGAGGATGGAGGAAGGAGGCAGAGAAAGAGACATTCGAGAGGGGGGTGGGGGGGATTAAATGAAATAAATACAATACAATTAAATTAAAAATGGGGTGGAAATAGGTACTGCTGAAGGCTAATGCCGAGCGCGGGGCGGCGCGCTGCGGCTCAGCCCCCCCATGGCCCCGCCGAGCCCCTCCGCGCCGCCCCGCGCTCCCCCCCGGCAGCCCCGGCCAGGGCGGCGGCGCAACGCCCGCCCGGGGAACACCCCCCTCCGCCGCGGCCCACCTTGCGGCAGGCCCCCGCTAACCCCTTCCTGGCCGGCACCTCCGTGCTTCCTTCGTTTCCACCCCTCCACGAAACCCACGAGGGAAGCGGAGTGCAAGGGAGAGGGACCAGCTGCCCCATCCATCCATCCATCCATCCATCCATCCATCCCTCCAAGCATCCCTCCCCCCTTCCTCCACTACCTCCCACCTTTCCTCCCTCCCAGAGCTGCCAGGAAAAGACCACAACCACTATTATTCCACAACCCCTGTTACTCCACAATCCCTGTTACTCCACCAGCCCTTTTAGTCTATAACCCCAATTACTCCACCAACCACAAATAGTCCATGTTCACAGAATCACGCATCTGGGGCTAAGCCCCTTAGAAAGCTGGCTGCCTAAATGCTCTCCGGGTCTCTTTTAAGCACGTGTGTGTGTTTAAGCTGTCTTTTTTTCTGGTTTTTTTTTAGAAATGAAGAAACCATGGCTGCACATCTCTCCTGTGCACACAGAGGTGTGCGTCCCTGAACCTGGTGTCCCAGTTCAGCCACCCTGCCTGACCTGCTCTTTGATGCTGAGGAGGGCAGAGGAGCAGGACAAGTAGCTCCAAATCACAGATGCTGGCCGCTCTAGGGGAGTCCTGACTTCTCCATAGTCAAAGAGCAAGTACTTGAAGGAGTGCACTCTTCCCGGCTTGCTGAACATCTTCTTGGGCTTCTCAGCTGAACTAAAACTACTGCCACAGAGCACTTGGGAGGTACCTTTCCTGACCATAGTCATCACCAGAGCTTGGTGGAGCTGGCTTGCATTTCCAGCTCCCTCTCTGAAGGCACCAGAAGCACTGCCCAGCACGGGCAAATCCACTGAAACAGCCCTACCTGAGGGAAGCTGGACTGGGTGCTTACAGTGAGGTGAAATTTGGATAAAGACAGCTTAGGCTAAATACATAAGGGATGTTCTCACAGTGAAAACAGTTGACTATAGGAGAGTTTCTAATGGGAACCAAACACTCAACTAAAATTGCCTTGGTTGAATCTGGAAGACAGCCTGGATAGCCACCCAGCATCTACAGCAACACTCCCACAATCATGTAAGGACTGAACAAAGCCTTCAGAGTAAGCATCGATTTTATGGCTCAAAGGTGTTTAATTCACATCCTGCCGGTGTTGTACTTTTCTGATGTAAAATCCTTCCCCTTTCCTTCCTTTCAGCCTCATAGGGGTTGGAACTGGAGGAGCTTTAAGGTCCCTTCCAACACAAACCAGCCTGTGATTCTCATTTCTTACTAATTCCTAAATACATCCAGAATATCTCCAAGCTTGCGTCTGCATAAATAAGAACAGCCAGTGGCCCTTTCCTCTTGTTCACTGTTAAACTACAGAGCTGATCATGGCAAACCCTGTTATAAGATGTCCCTGGTGGGGTGGCCAGGGGAGTGGTGATGGAGGGCGTGCTTTCTGTGAGACCACCTCAGTAATCAGCACACAGACTGCTGCATCAGGCTCCTGAAAATGATACAGTGAGAGACAATATAATACTAAGGTGACAAAGTAATGCACTGAGAAATTATGCCAGGCAGGCAGGTTGCTGTCAGAGACCTGCCTGGCTGCCTGTTGGGGACCGGTGCTAGTTGTCACTGTCAGCACTGAGCTGTCACTCTAATAACAAGTGGTTTATCGCTTGATGTAATAGGCTACCAAGCTGTTGTTCACCAGTCACACTGATTACATGTGGGTACCACCCAGCTCACAGAAAGATGCTCAGCAAACCCACAGCTGTGTGGATCTCAGTTTTATTTCAGGTGCCTTTTTTGAGACTAAGGAAAGCAGTAGCCAAAGCATCAGGTGAGCACATGGTAAATATAGCAGCAATAAACACATCATCCAAAGGGAGGCAGGGTGACCCAGTGTGTGATATAGAAGAGGCTAGTGTCTTAAAAATATCCCTCATAATACCTAGACGTAAGGCCTGTAGGGTCAAACTTAGAGATAAAAGTCTTCTATTGAAATTACAGTTTTGCTTGGTTAGGGGTGACCCACTGTAATTAAAACTCAGATGGATCTGTAAGGCCACAGAAGAGAGGAGAGTCTGCAACTATCTCACACAGTGTCAGGGAGGGGGTTTCTAATCAGTGCAATTTTAAATGTCCTGAGAAATACACATTCACCCACTCCAGGGGGAGGGTTCAGTAACACTTCACAGTCTAATAGGTCTCATGAGTGGGATAAGTTTTTCAACTTTCAGCCCACTTTTTTATACTGCTTAATTTCCTCCCATTATTTCTGACGAAACACTTTGTGGAAGGCGTACAATTGCTCCCTAGCCTGGATTTTCATGTTTTAATGATGGTTAATTATTCCAGGAGAAACTTTTATTTTTACTTTTTATTCATCTTGCTTTTGCACTGGATGCTTTATCCTGAAGTTTAATTAGTGCATTTCAGAACTAAAGATCCAGATTAAATCACTGCTGAGCAAGCTCTGCTCCAGAATTTATGATCACTGTGCACAGTCTTTACTATACCTGCCAATGCAGGCAACTGAGTAATCAATCGATGGGTTATTTGGGAAACGAGCAAGCCAAACAGGTACTGCAGCCTAGCCTGTTGCTGCTGCTCTTCCTTTCTCTGCCACAGCAAGGAAGAGATGGATGAAGGCAATGATAATGGGTAGAAAGGGGCAGTCTCCACCTCTTTCAAACCTCAGTATGGGTATTGCACATCCTGAAAGCAAGTCTTGGATGCAATAACACGGGCAGATTTGCATCTCCAGCCCTACCATTTGCTTGAATCCAAGCTTTCATTTCATTCTATTAGAGAGATTGGGGCTGGCTGCAAACATCAGATGTAGGCATAGGTTTGGCACCAATCCATCTCCTTTCCTGCTGCCTCAAACACCAAGATTTTAATTCCAGCTCATCTGCAAATGCTAAAAAAGATTCAGTTTTGCAAAATAGTCCACTCTAGTGGAGCTCATCATGAAAGATGACCTACAAGGAGTTAAAAAAGGAAAATAAAAATTAAAACAAACCAAGAACTCCTTTTAATCACATTATCTCAAACAAACTAAAGCTATAGACAAACGCGATTACACCCACAAAAACCTGCTTGCTCCTATCCAAGAGTCCAAATACTTGTGGCTTAACCAGGGTCAGAACGTGTTGTGGAGATGGATGCGCACTTACACTCTTCCCTACTTGACATCCAGAAAGCTCATGCAAGGGGGGATATGTCCCCCAAAAAAATAAACAGAAATGCCCATGTGGGAGAGAAAAGCACCTCCTGTTCATGCCGCTGAGCAGACTGGCTTCATTCCTTTTATTTATACAGAGCAGCTCTGGCACATGCTGTAATAAAAACGGATAAGGTTTCAAGCCCTTCACTAGCCCACAAAAATAAGCTGACTCTCTGCACAGGCACCACAGGGCAAATAGCCCCAAACTTAACCCAGAAACCTCACAATTTCAGCAGGGAGGGTTGGGGAGCAGGAGCGGGGGGTATTGTTTTGTTTTGCTCTTCGAAAGATAGCCCTGTAATTTAGTGACTCAGACGTTCTACATCCTTTGTTGCTTTTCATTTTCAACATCTTTAAGCTGTTTGTGGAGAACGTGCTTATTTTTAGACTTTGCATCAGTGAGAGACATTTTAGCTGGTTCAGA